CAAAATAACAAGAGTTGCAGATAATGAACTGAAACTGGCTGAGGATCGGCCCCCTGCCATTCTAATCCCTGAAGCCCAAGACTAACTTTGTCAAGTTAAATGATTCTGAGATATGATAATTATCTTGGATTGTTTGGGTGGGCCCTACATAATCACAAGGGACGCAATGAGAGAGAGGCAAGACTATTAAGAGTTCACAGGAGACGTGGAAGAGTTGCGTGAGCTAACGCGTGCAGGTCGTCTCTGCAGCTGAAGCACAGAAGGAATGGATTCTCCCCCGAAGCCTTGAGAAGGAGCGCGGCCTTGCTAAAGTTAATTTTAGATTTCTAATTTCTAGCACTCCCCGGCCAAGTATGTTCTCTGATCACAATGGAATCAAATTAAAAAATAATACCAGGGGGCCGGCACTGAAGTGAGGTGCGTTAACGCCCTGGCTGGAAGCGCCGGCATCCCATATGGGCGCCGGTTTGAGACCTGACTGCTCCACTTCTGATCCAGCTCTCTGCTATGGGCTGGGAAAGCAGTAGAAGACGGCCCGAGTCCTTGGGCCCCTGCATCCGTGCAGGAGACTCAGACGAAGCTCCTGGCTCCTAGCTTCAGAATGGTGCAGCTCCGGCCATTGCGGCCATCTGGGGAGTGAACCATCAGATGGAAAACTTCTCTCTCTCTCCACCTCTCCTTACTCTGTGTAACTCTTTCAAATAAATGAATAAATCTTAAAAAAAAAAAAATAATAATACCAGAGGCACCAGTGCTGTGGCATAGGTTAAGCCTCTGCCTGCAGCACCAACACCTCATATGTGTGTAGGTTCAAGTCTCAGTTTCTCCACTTCCAATCAGCTGTCTGTTAATGGCCTGGAAAAGCAGCAGCAGACGCCAAGTCCTCGGGCCCCTGAAGCCATACGGGAGACCCAGAAGGAGCTCCTGCTCCTGGCTTCAGCCTGGCCCAAGCCCGGCCATCACAGCCACTCGGGGAGTGAACCAGTGGAAGATCTCTTTCTCTCCTCTTTTTATCCCTGCCTTGCAACAACATAAATCTTAAAATAATAATAATAATAATAATAATAATACCAGAGGAGCCAGCGCCGTGGCTCACTTGGTTAATCCTCTGCCTGTGGTGCCAGTATCCCATATGGGCGCTGAGTTCTAGTCCTGGTTGCCTCTCTTCCAGTCCAGCTCTCTGCTGTGGCCTGGGAGTGCAGTGGAGGATGGCCCAAGTGCTTGGGCCCTGCACCCCATGGGAGACCAGGAGGAGGCACCTGGCTCCTGGCTTCGGATGGGTGCAGCACGGCACGCCGTCCGCAGTGGCTATTTGGGGGGTGAACCAACAGAAGGAAGACCTTTCTCTCTAACTCTGCCTATCAAAAAAGAAAAAGGAAAACTACCACACAGAGAAAGTGATATTTGTCTTTTTGCAGCAAGAGACAAAGCTTTCCTCTTTTATGGCTTAGTATAAATTTTTTTAAAAAATACCTCAATACTAAAAAAAAAAAATTTAGAAGATTTATTTATTTGAAAGTCAGAGATAGAGAGAGAAAGAAATCTTCCATCTTCAGCTTCACTTCCCAAATGGTCGAAATGGCCAGGGCAGGAAGGTGGAAGCCAGGAGCTTCTTCCAGGTCTCCCATGTCTGTGGCAGAGGCCCAGGCACTTGGGCCATCCTCCACTCTTCTCCCAGGCACAATTAGCACGGAGCTGATTGGAAATGGCACAGCTAGGACTCGAACCAGTGCCTATATGGGACGCTGGCATCATAGGTGGTGGTTTTAATCACTATGCCTAAACGCTGGACCCCCAAAAAACCATTTTAAAACATAAAAAGACTTGAAGAAACAATTCCCCAATGAAGATAAACAGATGGCAAATAAGCACATGAAAACAGGCCCAATATCATTATTCACTAGGAAAATGCAAATAAAAACCACAGTAAGTTACCACTCTATACTCAATCAATGGTTAAAAGCAAAGTGACTGACTACACCAAGTAGGAGTAAGTGTGCAGGGCAATCAGAACTCTCAGACACACCTGGTGGCACAGCCACCAGGTCAAACTGGGAGACTAAAAAGTGCGACACAGACCTCCCACAGGACCCAGATACTCTACTCCCAGGTCTTTCCTCAAAAAAACTCAAGTATATATCCACACAAACGCTTGCATGTGAATGTTCATAATAGCTTAAACAGTGAATGTGTAACAGCCAAAAAATGTAAAAACCCAGGTGGATAGATTCACAAATTTAGTATATCCATAGAAGTGAATACTATTCTGAAATAAAAGATGGTAACTATCTCAACACACATGGATCTCAAAATGTTATGCTAAGTAAATGACATCAGACCTAAAAAGAGTGCAAAATACATGATTCCATTAATATAAAATTCCAAAGAATGGAAAATAACCCATAGGGACAGAAAGCAAATCAGTGATCATTGGGAGAAAAGCGACGAATTTCAAAGGAAAAGGAGGGCTCTGGATGATGGGTGTTCATTGTCTTGAGTGTGGCGATGGTTTTGTGTAATAATACACATGCCGAAGCTCAGTCATCTGTATCCTTCCAACACGTACAGTTTACTGAGCATCACTTCCATAAAGCTGTGTGATAAACCTTCCATACGTATTAGATACTGTTGTTCACACATGAATCCTTTAAAACAGGAGAGAGAGGACTGTGGACAACTTATCTGAATGGGAACCCATCATGTATGAAGCTCTCTGCAGTCTACACTTGGAGGAAGGGGCAGGCACTTGGCCTGATGGTTAAGACACTGCTTGGGAAGCCCACATCCCAGATCAGAATGCCCGAGTTTGGGCCTGGCTCCATTCTGACCGCAGCTTCCTGGGAAGCAGGAGGCAATGGCTCAAGTACTGGGTCACTGCTGCCCACATGGGAGAACCAGATGGAGTTCCGGATGCCTGGTTTTGGCCTGGCCCAACCTCAGCTATTACAGGCATTTGTGGAATGACCCAGTGGATGGGAGGTATGTCTGTTGCTCTGCCTTTCTAATAAATAATAAATAGTTTAAAAAAAATAGAGAAAGAACCTATTAAGAGTTAAACTTCTTGGGGCTGGCGCTATGGCACCGCGGGTTAACACCCTGGCCTGAAGCGCCAGCATCCTAAATGGGTGCTGGTTCAAGACCGGCTGCTCCACTTCCGATCCAGCTCTCTGCTATGGCCTGGCAAAGTAGTAGAAGATGGCCCAAGTCCTTGGGCCCCTGCACCAGCAAGGGAGACCTAAAAGAAGCTCCTGGCTCCTGGCTTCGGATCGGTGCAGCTCCAGCCCTTGTGGCCAATTGGGGAGTGGACCATCGGATGGAAGACCTTTCTCTCTTTCTGCCTCTCCTCTCTCTGACTTTCAAATAAATAAATAAATCTTTAAAAAAAAATTAAACTTCTTTAAGGTGTCAGATAGTTTCCTCACTCGTCTCCAAGATATACACAGAAAACACTCAGCCATAAAAAAGCAAAAACTAAGGGAAAAACAAACCCAGAAATGCACACACGAAATGTTACAACATCACGGGATAAACGCTGGGCCTTGCGAGTTTGACCGGTTTCCCCGGCACTGGGGACTTTCCAGGGCTCCAATACACTCCAGCTTCCTCCTCAGCCTCTCTCCAGGTGAGCCGTCTCCTGAGCTCGGGAACCTAAGGCCCGGGGTCGGTAATTTAGCTGATTTATTCCTAAGTTCGAGTGCCAGGAGCCCAGTATCCACTGATCTTCATCGCAATCCTGAGCAAACCAAAGCCCAAAGGGACAAAGGCAGCTGCCCCGGGTCCCACGGCTAGCAGCAGAGCGTGCAGATACAGGCAGCCTGACGCCGATGCCCACGTCCTCCACCACAAAACCATGCTCTGTGATGGAGACAGTTTCCTCAGCTTTAGGATGCTGAGGGTGAAGCCTACCTGTGAGCGCCAGCTGTGCTCTCCCGGCTGTCTCATGACATGCCGTGAGAACGGAATTGAGCTACAAATGTCATAATTTCAGCTAGAAGACATTTTATAAATTATTACAATTTCTTTAAAAAGTCATTCTATTAGCTTAGAAATCACTAAAATGGAATCCTGAGAATAGATCGCTCTCCTGCCTTTCCTCCATTTATGATTAATTTAGGGTCTCTGAAAGAAAGTGGTTCTGCATATTGAAACACTCTCTACAGGAAAGAAGCGGATTTGACATGCTAGGCCCCACCATTTCTTTTTAAGGCAAATTCCTTTTCCTCAGATAAGACATTAAGAATTAATTCTGTCTCTTCTGAGAAGTCAAGCATACACTTGCTGTAATTTCCCTTGAAATTAGCCCTCACACTGAGGTTATAAAAACAAAAACTTCTCAATAATCAGAGCCACTCAACTCCTCACTTTCCAGACAGCTGACAAGGACACGATACATACCTTCACAGGGACAGCTAACGTTTTTGTTCCCAGGGTGAGACATGCAGAAATGCCTGCTATGTGCCAGGACTGTGTGATGTGGTACAGATACAGAAGGGAACAAAACAGACACAAATCCCTGCCCTCACGCCGCTTATATTCTGGTGGGGAGGGGGGTGAGTGACCACAAACAAATGGCAAGAACAAGTATGAGGTACAAAGGGCCTTCAGAAACTCCACCAAAAATACCTATTTTATTAAAAAAAAAAAAAACTATGCCTGAATTGTTTTTGGTTTTTTTAAAGATTTATTTACTTGTTTGAAAGGCAGAGATACAGAGAAAGGAGGAGAGAGGTAATCCATCCACTGGTTCACTCTCCAAACAGCCGCAATAGCCAGAGCTGAGCCAGGCCAAAGCCAGGAGCTTCTTCCAGGTCTCCTACATGGGTGCAGGGGCTCAAGGACATGGGCCATCCTCTGCTGCTTTCCCAGGCCATTAGCAGGGAGCTGGATGGGAAGAAGAGCAGCCGGGACTCTAACTGGTGCCCATACAGGATGCCAGCCCTAGAGGCGGAGGCTTAACTTTCTATACCACAGCACTGGCCCCCTCAAAAATCTGTTCTCACCAAAATAAACTTATCTTTTAAGTCCATTTTCCATGAGCTTTTTGCAGTATCCTCGAATAATAGTACATCAGATGATACAAATCTAATGAGACACAGAAAGGCAGAGGGTCAGGAGACGTGGAGAAGGTTAATTAGTCTGTTCTCAAAACATTTGAGTCCAGAACAGAGAGCAGAATGTGTACATTAAAATGGGGAATAGAAATTTGATTCACCCCCTCGCCTTGTCAGAGAGAATGCACAAAGTACATGGTGAAATTTGAAGTTTAAGAACTCTCTCCAAGGGCAAAAAAAAGTAGATGAGTATTCCCTATGCTCAGACAGGGCGAGATGAGTAAATCTGAAGGGAATTAGGCAGTGTTCTTCAGCTTCTCATCCTCTCATAATCTCACCAAAAATAACTATTCCCACTTCTGCCTCAAATGAGATATAGCCCTTAAAATACAAATTCAGTTCAAAGAAAATATTGCTATTAAATTCCACATTTGATCAAGATAAGGCACCGTATGACAATCTCAAAATAAAGTTAGAAATATGAAATTCTGAAAGTGCAGATTGGCAAAATTAGGTAAAGTGAAAAATTACATAATTTTAAAGCATAAAACTGGATAAAGCAAAATAAGAAAAAAAATAGGTTTCTTACAAAATTAGACACATGCATGCACATAGTCTTACATTTTGAAGCAAATTTTCTCCAACTGTTCCAATGGAAATGAAACATTTTTTCCATTAATACATATTCAAGTATTAGAACGTAATAATTTTAAGCCAACTTGTCCTCTTTACTGAAATAACAATGTGGGTAACCTTGTTATTCTATTATAGTCATATAATAAATTGCATCATTTGAGCCAATGGCCCAGGACTCTGAAGGTTGAGAATTACAGGGGAGTTGAACAAAGGCCTTGAGACATTAAGTGCTCCCTGTGCAGAATTCCCTTTGTGAGAACCCTGCTACAGTGTTCCCCGTGTGCCCCCCCATCCCCATCCTCCACGCTGCCCCTCAGTTGCATCCATGTGTTTTAGTTCATCCTTACACGGAGCTTCCTGTTGTCTTCACTGCCATCCTTTGAGAGGCAACCATTCCTTCAAATGCTTCCCGTGTTTTAAAGACGCAGGCACCCCTTCATTCGACCCTCATCTTCCATCAGTAAGTACAATGTACATGGTGACTCCTTCACTTACAAACTTACAAGAATGCTTAAGCTTAACAGCCGGTCTCTCTTAGGAGAGGGCCAGCCTATGTTTTCTCCATCTTCTGCTTGTGGAATGCTTTTCTGAATCTAAATGAAGTTCTAGCAGTCCTGCCAATGAGTCTCCACTGGCCATTACTTATCCTTTAGCTGTTTCTGAAGGAATGGGCTGTGACAGGCACAGCTGCTGGACTGCAGAATCAGAATCCCCAAGATGTGGTCAGGGGATCTGCAGTTCGAGGCGCGCCCACACAATTCTTGGGCACTGTGAGGTTTAAGAATTAAGCCTTAGAGATTGAAATTTGGCATTGAAGCACTCACCTGTAGTCCAGGAATAAACCGGGTGTCCTTTTCCACCACCAGAAGCTCAGCGACATTGGCATTGAGAATGGACCTTGTGATCCCGCCTGGCCCAGGGCCCACTTCGTATACATACGCATCTGTCAGGTTGCCAGCTTTCCTTACAATTTTATCTATGGAAAGGAAAGATTTAGTCATCTTGATTATCTCGGCAAAGCTCAGTGTACAGACGTCAAAGAGAAAAATAATTTATTGTTGAATTCTACCAGGCCCGTAACAAAAACAGGATTGTCATGACAAATTCCCTTAACTTAAATTTAGCTAACATTGTACTTTCTGTGTGTTCTCCACCCAATCAACTCCTAAAAACAGACTACAGAAACATCCAACAGTTCTCTATAGCTGTTGAATATCACCTCAGATTTGAAAAGACTAGTTTCACCCTCAGAATTTTTCAACATCACTAGTTAAAAATCCAAGAGCAGAAACTGTTGGCACCCTCTAATTTTGGCTACGGACACATAACTGGTGATCAGTAAGGCAACAGCAACAAGCCACTTGCTTACAAGACTTAGAAATTTAGATTGTTGATTCTTTTTTTTTTTTAAAAGATTATTTTATTCATCAATTTGAAAGGCAGAGTTACAGACAGAGAGAGGTAGTTAAAGAGAGAAAGGTCTTCCGTCCACCGGTCCACTCCCCAAATGGCTGCAACCGGCGGAGCTGCACTGATCCGAAGCCAGGAGCCAGAAGCTTCCTCCTGGTCTCCCATGCGGGTGCAGGGCCCAAGCACTTGGGCCATCCTCCACTGCCTTCCCGGGCCACAGCAGAGAGCTGCAATGGAAGAGGAGCAACTGGAACTAGAACCAGCACCCATATGGGATGCTGGCACGATGGCCCCTGATTTTCAGGAAAAAAATTTAGCAGCAGTGTTTTTTTTAAGCATTGACAATATGCATGTTAATGAGAAAATTAATCTTTTAGTTAACTTCTTTAGAAGACCTACGGAAAAGTACTGGTGATTCAATGGAACCAATTATTCCTTCCAGAAAAACACAATGCATTGGGTTTCCAGAGGAGGAGAGATTAAAACCTAAACAGTGAGCCGTCCAGGACAGCGGGAAATCCAGCCCTGAAAACACAGCAGTATGCCATGTCTGGGCACTGATGCTGCCAAGCCTGTCTGTTATCAGTAATTTACCATCCTTTGTAGGTTTGAAGCCAAAAAGTGTCCCAACCATACAAAAAAAAGTTGTCTTTCGGCGGGGGTAGGAAGGGACCGACATTCTTTGCCCATCCGCTCTGGTGTTTCATATGCGTTCTCCCACCGAATGCTCACAACACATTCACCAAGAACTGCTAGCCCAACTTCAGTCTCCGAACCTTCAGTTTCCCTGTCTACTGTTTTATTTCTGCAAGGCCCCCTGGAAAACAAACGGGAGAGAAAGGACTCCACCTTCGGTCTAGATTCCAAAGCCAGATTCTATGTCGCTCAATGCCTCTTCGCGGGAAAAGGAGGGATAGTCAGTACTGCCAGCGTGAACTGAGTTCACCGTGTTCGTTTTTAAACGTGGAGACCGAGGACAGCAGGCAGGGGCTCTGTCTTCTAGTAACTTGGAATATGGCTATCGACCAGCAGGCAAGGCTGGTCCTAATGATTACTAACAGCAGAGTGTTACAGCCGGTACCACCTTCAGGCCCTTAAACCTGATTGCAAGGTGAGGAGGCTTCAGTGGAGTGAGGCTGACTCCCAGCGCAAGCAGTAAAGGCTCCATGTCCGAGCACACACACACCTTATTTATGTCTTGTGGGCTGGGCTTCATGACTGGGAAGTGAACTTCTGGGCGCGATTTACGGCTTTGCACGCCGGCGCGTGGCCAGAGCGCGACCCGGGGAAGCCTCGGATCCTACAGGCTGCAGCGTGAACCGGCGGGCCCGCACTGCAAACGGGAATGCAAGCGGCGGCTGACCCAATATATATGTTCTTACACATATCTGTCCAGTTCCATCAAGCCGCGCCCCGACCCCGACCCTCCCTCCCCGCGCTCGGCGTCCACACCGCCCGCCTCCACCCGCCTCGGCGCCGGCGGCACGCGGGCTCGCCGGGCCCCGGGACTCCGGGGTTTTCAGAGCCCGTGCCGGGCCTCGGAACCCGCCCGCGGGGTCTGCACCACCGCCCCCGGGGGCAGCGGGGCCACAACCCGGAAGCACTGAGATGCCGTGCACCTGTCAGCCGCAAGTCCAGGAGAAAGTTCTGGGACAGCTGCTTCACGGCTTGCAGCCTGAACAACTTAATAATTTCTCGAATCGTGGGCAACGGCGGGAGGCGGAAAGTGCTGAGCTTCCCGGAGGCAGCCATTAGCCCCGGCGGGCGCCCTCCGGCGTCCAACCCCCAGCCCCGCTCCAACAAGGCACCTGGCGGGGCGGAACCAGAGGGGCTGCGCCCGCCTCCGGGCCCGCCTCACTGGTCGAAGGAATCACGCCGGAAGCGACGACGGCGGACAGGAAATACCGGCGTCCTGAGGGCGCATGCGCCGCCTTCTGCTGAGCGCGGTGCAGGCTGGGAGCATGGTGGTTCCCGCACGTGAAGGAAGCCGCGGGGCCTTGTGGGCGTGGCTGCTACAGAGTGGGCGGTCCCGCGACTGGGAGGGCGAGGCGGGGCGTGGCCAGGGTCTCGGCAGGGCGGGAGGTGGAGGAGCTGAGGGACCCAGACGGCGTGGTGGTGAGGTTGTAACAGTCACTGGAAGGTGAATTCGACCTGGACAGGGCCGTGGTTTCAGCACAGCGGCCTAGAGGGAGCACCTGACTAGAGTGCGAGCCTTGGTCCTTCCGAAGGCGTCCAGCCGAGGAGCACCACCTCGTCTGTCTGTGTCCTTTTACCCTGAATTTGGCCTGAGGATGCCGCCGCACGGGAGCCCTTACTTCCGGGCCGCAGGCGAGCTTAGCAGGGCCCAGTAACTGAAACCTGGCTGGAAAGAGGCGTTAGCGGAGTCTGGGCGAGGACAGCGGAGGGTGGCCGGAGGGGTCAAAGAGGCGTTAGCGGAGTCTGGGCGAGGACAGCGGAGGGTGGCCGGAGGGGGTCAAAGAGGCGTTAGCGGAGTCTGGGCGAGGACAGCGGAGGGTGGCCGGAGGGGTCAAAGAGGCGTTAGCGGAGTGTGGGCCGAGGACAGCGGAGAGTGGCCGGAGGGGTCAAATCAGGCAGCCCCGGGCGTGATCGCTCGGCTTGTCCCTGGAGTCAGTCCCTTTCCTGGGTGTGGGTTGGCTTGAGGCCGTCTTGCTGGCTGGAGTCCGTTGAACCGGTTCTGGTGCCTGCCAGACTCTGGAGTTGTGGACAAAGGCTCGCCAGGGTCTCGTCTCGTACTCTTGCCTTTAGACTTTGGAAAGTGTGTGTGTATACATCCGGTAGTTGTTCTTGAGTCTTTCACTGAGTCTTATGAAATAAATGTTAAGGACTGTTAGTGTCAGTTTACAGCAAGTAATTAAAAGCTTAGAGAGGAGTTCACGAAGCTACAGCACTGTGGACTGCAGATCCGGTCCAAGTTCCCTGAAGTGTATGTGGCTTCTCTTTTAGGACTGCCTATGTAGTGAGTATTGGTTGTCACGAAGTTTCTTAGTGCCCCTTCTTGCTCCTAATTGTTGGAACTTCTCTTTCCCTTTCACTTGGCTTGAAAAGGACGTATGATAGGATTGTATTAATGATGGCTACCATAACCTTTTAAAAAGTACCAGGGTTTGCAACTGAGTACTTTGCAACTATTTTTTCATTAATTGTTATAGCTCGCAAATGGGGGTAGATTCTATGACTACTCCTTAAAAAAAAAAAAAAAAGAAAGGCTTACAGGGGCTCAGTAACTGCGTACTGCGCAGCTAATAAGTGCTGAAGTTAGGATTTGAATTCACAAACCTGCATCCATAGAAGGCTTTCAGAGCAGTGCTAGATTCTATTCCTACTCACTTCTAAAAATACAGTAAGGCTTACAGGTTCCTTAGTTTGCCCTGTACTGCCCAGCTAATACGGAATGGAGGTCAGACTTGAATCCACACCGTAAGTAGCATGCTTTTGAAGCACAGCGGTCCATGTAGAGAGGTCCGTTGGTCCGCCGAGGTGTTACATCCAGACACAAAGAGAAGGCTGGGTCATGACTTCTGTCCTTCCATTACGCCAGAGAAAACAACGAAGAGAAATAATATGATGGGAGAATGCTGCTCTTCTAGCCCTGTTTTTATTTGCAAATTGCTGAATTGATAACAAATGAATCTTAACAACTATGTCTCCAGTAGTAGGTTTTTGAAAAGTAGAAAAGCAAGTAATTCCAAGTGAGATGTAGAAATGAGGAGTTCGTTGACATTCCCATGGAAAACCCGGTCGCCGCCTCTGATAGCTGTCTCAGGACAGGCTGTGGATGCCGGGGTGATCGCCTGCCTTACTAGGTTCCTCCCGATGCCCCAAACTCAGAAACCTCTTGTTAGGGCTTCCATTCTTCCTCTAAAAGTTCCCCATCTTCTGCTTTAAACAGTGGGTCTAATCCTGTTGTTTTTAGTTGCCTGGAAGAGCTGCTTACAGCAGGATCAGTTGTACCGTGTAGGTCTGTTGGGAAGGCTCTCCTAACAGAACTTGACTTGCCAGCATTAGTGCGTACCGGCTTTCTCCTACCCAATCAATAAAACTCTCCTCAGACACTGATGACAAAAGCAGATTTGAGTCATATTCTCTGGCCTCTTACCGGCCAGAAATAAAGCATTTCTCAAAGAGAAGATTGCTTTTATGTGCGGTGGACCTACCTCATTCACTAACAGTGTGCAGTAGTCTGATCTATTTGTAGCACCTAGATTTAGAAAATAGGAGAGGCACACCCACGGAGGTTAGTATTTTGCCCAAAGTGACATCTTCATATAGATTCAAAGTCTAAACTCCTGATTCGGAGGTCTTACTGTTCACAACACGCTTTATCTGGGAAGGATTCGTTCGTAGTCCGCTTCACACTGGTCCTATGTGGATGAGATTATTATCTTACTGTGAAGAAATGGAGGCAATTTCATTTGGCTTTCCAAGAATCACTAAGAAAATTACAGGGAGAAGACAACCTGAGTTCTTTCTTTTCTGAGTTGTGATCTCATTGGTCACACAACTCAAGTTTCAGATTATTTTTAAGTAATTCAATTTGTTAATTGTATGATGTTTAATATATAGAAACATGAATTTTGGTATGAATGTAAGCTTACAATTTTCATGTGACTGGATAAAACACCATTACAATAAATATAAGTACAAAGTTACAAAACCAACATAGACAATCTTATTTTTTTATCCTTTTTTTTTTTTTTTTTTTTTTTTTTTTTTTTTTTTTACAGGCAGAGTGGGTAGTGAGAGAGAGAGAGACAGAGAGAAAGGTCTTCCTTTGCCGTTGGTTCACCCTCCAGTGGCCGCCACGGCTGGCGCACTGCAGCTGGTGCACCGCGCTGATCTGAAGGCAGGAGCCAAGTGCTTCTCCTGGTCTCCCGTGGGGTGCAGGGCCCAAGCACTTGGGCCATCCTCCACTGCCCTCCCTGCCCACAGCAGAGAGCTGGCCTGGAAGAGGGGCAACTGGGATGGAATCCGGCGCCCCGACCGGGACTAGAACCTGGTGTGCCAGCGCCGCAAGGCAGAGGATTAGCCTAGTGAGCCGCGGTGCCAGCCTAGACAATCTTATTAACTTGCAACGACTAATGATATTAAATCAATATTCTTAATATACTGACAAGATTCTGAATTTGGAGTTCAGCTTATTAGTGCTATAGTATGCCAGGTAATGATTTAATGTTTTCAACACTTGTTTGTTTTTTTTTTTTGTATTCAAACTACTAACAAAGCTTTGTTAAAAATGTTTTCTGTTGTCACTTGTCCTATGCTTAGGAGAACATGGAAGCTGCCTGTTAAATCTGCCTAGGTCTACACCAGCTTGGAGTCGACTGAGGTTGAATCACTTGCCTTTAATGCTATCATGAATATCCATGTTGCATGATGGTTATAAGGAGGATATTCAGGTAGTTCAGATGTAACCACAAGAACAGCTAACATAACAAATACACTAAAATCCAAAGAGCCAAAGGACGTTCACATGGAGAATTTGTAGAGTCCTGAGAACACATCTCCAGATCTATCTTCAATAATCCACATTTGTGAGCTTGTGGCCTATGATTTACAAAGCAATGTTCTTTACTAATGATGCTGGGTCTGGAACTTAGATCTGTTGATACCACTGTGTGTGTGTCTATATATTTTTTTAAAACTTTATTCACAACCTTTTTTATTCCCTCATCTAACCAATAGACATGGTTAGCTTGAACCAAGGTAAGCTCAAATAGCCTCAAAATTCCTGTCATATTAGAGCATGACAGGACAAAAGCAGAAGTGAGGGCAGAGTTTAGTCTCAGTTCTTTTCAGAGACCAATCAGGTGTCCATGTACAGGTGACTCATTAAAAACCAATGGCAAGGCACCACCACTAGACATAGAGTGGCCAAGAGCACCCCACATGTGTCCCTCATACAGCCCGCCTCTTAGCCATGAAGGAGCGCTCCCCTTTGGGGGAAGTGGGTGGTCAATGTGTTATCATGGGAGATGGCAGTGCGAATTTTCTGTGGACTTTGATGGGGAGGTGACTTGCTCTCCAAATCTGGATGTAACAGCTTGTGAGAATTGTGTCACGGGAGACGGGAGGGGGCTGCCCCCTTAACAACGTCTTACAGGGTAATCACACAGGGCTCTCGCAGTACTTAACCCTGTGATTGTTCCCAATGCTTTTGTGCCCGTGCTCCCAAGCAGCGAGCAGGACTGGATGGAGCACCCTCCAGGCCCGGGCAGGAGGTGCCTCTCGGAGCAGTCACCCAGGAAGGGGTGAGGGGGCACTGGGAGATGCAGGGGACGGAAATCAGCTGAGATACTCCAGGCCGGCTCTGACTCGCTCCATCTCCTGTTGGAAGCTGTAGGCAAGGATACGTCTATATACAGTTTTTCAATTCGATTTCCTTTCTTAACCACCAACTTTAATTGTAAAAAAAAAAATTACTTCCTGCTTTCTCCAATTCCCTGTTCCCAGATGTCACTCCAAACTTCCATGCCGTATCTGGTTAATTGTCAGAATCTGACCAACAGCACATCGGGCAAGGGTGGGAGCATTCTGCTCCAGTTTTCTGGAAAGTGAGTGACTTTCTCCGCTAAGACCCGGAGTTAGGAAATCTTCCCTGATCTGCTGTGCTGGGAGACTCTTCTTCCAGGCACCTGAGCACCAAGCTGATTGAGCTGCTGCACGTCGCTGCCCACGGCCTCGGGCACTGGGTCCCGTGTGCAGTGCAGGCGGCCCATGGTGCCCACCTAGCCCCAGCCCAGCAGCGGC